CCCCCCCAATTATAGAAAGGATGTGGACAAATTGGAGAGAATCAAGTGGAGGGCAACAAAAATGGTTTGGGGGCTGGGGCACATGACTTATGAGAAGAGGCTGAGGGAACTGTGTTTATTTAGTCTGCAGAAGAGAAGACTGAGAGGGGATTTAATAGCTACCTTCAACTACCTGAAGGGTGGTTCCAAAGAGGATGGTACTAGACTGTTCTCAGTGGTGGCAGATGACAGAACAAGGAGCAGTGGTCTGAAGTTGCAGCAAGTGAAGTTTAGGTTAGATATTAGGATAAACTTTCTCACTAGGATGGTAGTAAAACACTGGAACATGTTACCCACAGAGGTGGTGGAATCTCTCCATCCTTGGAGGTTTTTAAGACCTGGCTAAACAAAGCCTTGGCTGAGATGATCCTGCTTTGAGCAGGGAGTTGGTGTAGATGACCTCCTGAAGTCACTTCCAACCCTAATTTTCTATGACTCTGTAATGCTGTAGGGTATGATGTAGATGGTGGGCTGAATGAGGGTAATCTTCATGAGTCTGAATGAGTCTGTTCTATCAGTGTAAAAAGTATCCTTAAAACCAGCATGATACGAAGAGATGGCATAGGTTAGAATCTGCTCCATTGTGTCTCCCAGTCTGCTGTGCAACAGAACGGGATTTTAGGCGGCATCCTTGATATACTTTTTCTCTTGATACACTTCGTTTCCCCTTCATTATGGGTGTTGTTTTCTCTGCATACAGAATAGGGAAGTACGGTCATTTAAAACAGCAACACTGAAAAGGGGCATTTCCGTTAGCCTAAAGGGAAGGAGTTGGTTATTACTCCATTGTTAGTGCAGCATTCAGATTAGTGTTCTTGTATACATACTGATCTTTCACCCTGGTTTAAATTACTACTTTGAGTGGGGAAAAAAAGAATGAAAAGCCATCTAGATGATTTAATATCTTGCTTGCTATATTACTCTTCCAAATAATATAGTAGGTTTTTTTTCTCTGCATTTTCATGGCATGAAGGCTTTTTCATTATGGGCATATTGCACAACTAGCAATAAAATCAGACAGGCTAAGGAAAAAGCTGCATTGTGTATATCAATCAAAGCACACCAGCTACATCCAGCAATTGCTTTTGCTAGAGAAGTAGCTTTTCCTTATGGAACATCTTGAATGCTTTTATGTCATTTAACATCATGGAAGCCCAGAGACAAGCATCTGAAAGGCACGACTATGATTTTTCAATGGTAATTAAATGAAATACATTTCATATGGTATGTGATTAATGGAGCTATTACTGTGGCTGACTTCACTGCGTTTTAGAAATCATCAGCATTTCTCATGGTGTCCTTTGTCTGACCGAACTACAACTAGTTTCTGCAAAATGTCATTGATCAGTTGTTCTGAACTATCACGCAGGGTAACAAAAAGGGTTTGGGCTGCTAATTTTGGGGACAGTGCTGTAAAGCAGAGGTGTGACTTGCAGTTGGGAATAAGTCATCCCCTAAAAACTGAATTTACCAGCCCCTTTCCTTTTCCATCTCCCCATTCAGAGTTTGTGCTGTTCAACTGTATTTATTTGCTTCTGGCTGCCTGCCCTGAGGCACTCGGAATGCCTCTAGAGCCTATTTTTATATTCTTTCTACCTCTTGCTAGCTAGCTTAGCAGCACTGATGTGGTCCAGAAAGCTTGGCTTCTGTCAATCTGAGTGAAAGCAGCCATGATTTTATGGGGTGTGTCAGCATTAGTGCAGATGCTTGTAGGAGGCAAAATACCAAAGAGACCTGAGAGTTTGGGGAATGTCCTCTGTTGCCATTAAATGGTTGCCGTCAAATGTGAGTCCTTTATTCACAGTTGCCTCACAGTGTATCTGAAATAATAAAATATTTTTATTCATATTTTATGTGCAAGAGAGGTGGGGTCTTTGGGTTTTTTTAAGTTTATTTCTAGTAACCCAGCATATTTAGAAAACCTTTTACTTCCATATTAACTATTTTGCATAACTTCTTCAAAAAATGTCCCCCATCCCAGATCCTCTCTAACCATGTATTCTGGAGTGTGTCAGTACTCTCATTCATAGATCTTAAAAGATGTCATGGGTCAACAACCCATAAAACATGGTAGAGGGACCCCATCCCTCTCATGGACTTGGCTATAAGGAGTTGATGCTCCTGGGTCTCTTGGGTTTTTTTATTGTATGAGAGAGATTTCTTGGCTTGTTTTTCCATCAAGATTCTGTATCTCTATAGAGAGGATCCTGCTCAGGAAGAAAATGGGGGAGGGCCACATTCTCTTGCCATTCGCTTACCTACAAGGTTATGTTGTTTGCTGGAGTGTATATGAGGGTGAAATCCTGCCCTGTATGTTCACGCCTCCCTTTTTCTTTGTCGTGAAGGGCCAAGGCCTCTGAGGCTATCTGTTTGCAGTGCTGCCACTTCACATGTGCAGTATAGAGAGGGTTAGGCAGCTGAAATCTGCTGAAAAGTAAGATTGAGCTGGTTTTTGTTGCAGAAGGGAGGTCTGGTAGGTCATTGGGAGGATGGTTGATTCAGTGGTTAAAGCACATTTAAGGAGAAACCCCGGTTTAAGTCCATTCTGTGCTGTAGACTGTCTTTGTGACTTTGGACAAATTGCCTAGTCTCCTTGGGTAGAAACAGCCATTGACTGACATCACATTTATGCTTCTACGACAGTATTTATGATGGTTTGGCAATTTCTGTTTTGATGCTCTGTGCTTCTCTTCCCCACCTATACTGTGGTGGTAGTAGTAGTTCTGTACCTCAGAAGCTTGTTCTGAGGATAAATACACTGCAAAGATCAGTTAAGCACTTTAGCAAATTGTTTCCCCCCTCTCCCACTGCTACTATAGAGAGAGATGGATCCAGTAAGTGAGGCTGCTAGATTTGTATAGATGTCCTGTCACTTGTGCTGGTTGGATCTTGCCCATATTGTATGGCATGATAATGCAAATATTTCAAAGCTTAGCTGTTCTGTTTATTTGGGTATTATAGGAGTAGAAACTGTTGAGAGAGTTCCCTTGTTTCTAATCCCTTAGGACAGACTATGTTGCGGTGAGAACCTTAATGTACTACAATCTTAATGGCTGGTGGCTTTGATTTTTTTTTTTTAAAAGGGCTCTGAAAAAGACTACCAGTTGTGGGTGAATTCAGGAAAAGAAGATGCTCCTTACCCGCTCATAGGTAAGTGTCTGGAATGGGTTTGCTTTCCAGCATTCACTCATTAACTTTCACTTTAAAAAAAAGAAAGAAAGAGGTATAGAAAACCTGAACTGAGGCTTCCTAATTTTGTTGGGTTTTTTTCCTGTTTTTTCTATACTTCCCTGTCTTGAGGGTTTGCCTTCGTGAAGTGCTGCCCAGATGTGGTTGAGTCCTTTTTTGCAGGCCACTTCTCCTTGTGTCATCCCCCCCTGAAAGTTTTTGAAAGTACCACATCTTTCACCACAACTTGTGCTGTGTTCCATTTGGTACATCTCAGTCTTCCTCTTGCTGCCAACCTTTCTAATAACTTGCATCCTCTTATGGAGCCTTTTTGGCTTTGTCATATTTCCTCCTCTCTTGCCACAGCATTGTTTACAGTGTTTCCCTGTTGCAGCAGAAACTCAGCATGTGCTGGGGAAATGTGGCATACTAATGTTTTTCTGTCCATGATGCAATTGCATGGCAGAGGACTGGACTCAGTGACCCAAGAAGTGCGTCCCAGCCCTGTTTGTCTCTGCTGACTAGCTGAGTGAAAGCAGCCAGACTGACCCTCTTTTGCTGAAATTGACCCAAACATTGCCAATTTGTTGCCTAAACTGACTTTGATTTTTTTAGACTATCCCCTCAGGGGCCTCCACCAAAACCCAGTGAGCATTCTATTAAGGTTTGGAGTGGCCCATGTCTGATTTGCTTCAAGGATTTGACCCCCCTTTTCAATGCTGAGACCCTTCCGTGATCTGCGGTAGTAGTTGTATCACATTAGATTGTGCAAATGAACAGAAGTGTTAGTGGGAATGAGATGTGTTAGTGCATTTTCTTTTTTCTTGCCTCAAATCTAGCCACAGCTAAATCATCCCATTCCTTCTCATAGCAGACTTAACTCCAGATGTCTTATGGAGCCAAATAGTATTAATGTTTTATAAAATGTCAAACCAGTGCATCTTTATAGACAGTGCAAACTGCTCTGGCTTTGAAGCACACCAAACTGTCTTCCAGAATCTCATATACAGTGTAGTTTGTATATGCGCATTAATAGTTTTAAATACAGCTTCACGGGATGCAGAGGTAGCAAAATCTTTTTAGTTGATTGATCCTCATGCAGTATGTAATCCTCGGTGAAGAAGGTGTACACTGGTTATTAATTGATACGACCCTAGATATTAACTCAGTTTACTGGATGTATTAAGGGCCCAGCCTTTTTCAGATGCACTTCAGAAGGCAATTTAGCTAAAGCATGTCAGATTCTTTCTGCCTTGCATCTTTGATGGTTGCCTGCACGAATAGGCTGGCCATGTCTAAGCACAAAGTACATCAGTTTAATTAAAAACATGTACCAGCATCCTTGTAATTAAATTGGTCTAAGTTCTGTGTGTAGACAAGCCCTGGGAGAGTTTTTCAGGTGGAGTTTTTGTAAGATCCCCCTAGAACTGACTAGATGCTGTAGAGTCCCTGAGTATTGCAGCTTGGCCAGGACAGAACTAGTCTGTATTAACTAACTGTGTGATTTAATATTTTCTTCCTGTTTTAGCCTTAGGAACTATTATTGAGTACCTGTCTGCATTGATGGGTGCCCAGTTACCAGGGACAGAAAGGGAAGATTACTTTCATATTGAATGTAGCATTCCCCCTCACCCCCTTTGCTTGGCAAAATTTTGTAGATGGACTCCCAAAACTCCATTTCTTGCCAGCAGTCTGGGAAACTAATAATGAAATTTTTCAGCACAGCAAACCAAACAGTGAAAAATAAAGACTGGACTTGAAAAAAAATATCACTTGTAATTTTCTGTTGGCTTTTGCATAGTACAACCACAGTGGGTCTTATTTTTCTAGTACCTCAGTTTAGCTTTGAGTGCAGTGGCTTTATTCATCATTAAATTTGGCTTTTTTCATCATTAAATTAGAAAAGAATCATCATACCTTTATTCTGAGGTTACCAGGAAATAAGTATTGTTGGCCAGTGTGCATAATATGCTGCTTCTTCAAGGTATACTGAGTTTTGCAGGTTCTCAGTCAGTCCGCAGAAGATAATTTTGATTTCTCTTTGAGCAGGACATGAATATCCCTTTGGAATTAAAATGAGCCACATTAGACATGCTATGTCTCAGACACAAGGATCAAAGGACTGTGCCTCCCCACTGGACCTTCAGGGGTCCTTATTAATGGAACAGCTGCCCCGAGACCTGCAGTGCCAGTTTATACTCAAGCCAAGTCGTCTGGCTCTGTGCCAGCAACTAAATGGTAAGTCCATCGCTCTCCTCACAGATGCTTCATTTAGCAAGAGAGTTTTTAGGTTTTATATCTGTTGTAGAAAGCAGGCATGTGGCAGGGGGTAAAGAAGGGAGGAAGAGGCAGAGATGCACTTTTCAGCCAAATAAGAGAGTATGATACAGTTTTCTCTTACTCAAGCTTGCTTTTGAGTTGCAGTTTTATATTTTTTTAAGTTAATTTTTTTTTTAGAGAACTGCTTGTCAAATGATCATTCTAATTGCAGCAAAGCCAGCCAGGCAGTTCCCTTCTATCCTGTCTGTTTGCTTTATTAATGGTTTATTTGCTGATCAAAGAAATCCTCTTCCTTAGCAGCCTTACTCTTCTGTAGCAGGCAAGATGGTTTTGTGGTTAAGGTCCTAGACCAAGAACTCATAATTTTCATAGATTTCATAGACATCAGGGCTGGAAGGGACCTCGGAAGATCATCGAGTCCAGTCCCCCGCCCAAAGGGCAGGAAGTCAGCTGGGGTCATACGATCCCAGCAAGATAAACATCCAGTTTCATCTTGAAGGTGTTCAATGAAGGCGCTTGAACCACCTCCGGTGGCAGGCTGTTCCAGACCTTGGGGGCTCGGACAGTAAAGAAGTTCTTCCTTATGTCCAGCCTGAAACGACCTTGAAGTAGTTTGTGACCATTCGACCTCGTCATCCCTTGGGGCGCTCTGGTGAACAAATGTTCCCCCAGATGCTGGTGGTCACCCCTGATAAACTTGTAGGTGGCCATCAGATCACCCCTGAGCCTGCGCTTTTTCAGGCTAAAGAGCCCCAGGGCTCTCAGCCTGTCATCGTAGGGTCTGCTTCCCTGACCTCTGATCATGCGCGTGGCTCTTCTCTGGACTCTCTCAAGCTTCTCCACATCCTTTTTGAATCGTGGAGCCCAAAACTGGACGCAGTACTCCAGCTGCGGCCTCACTAAGGCCGAGTACAGGGGGAGAATGACGTCCCGGGATTTGCTTGAGAAGCATCTATGGATGAAAGCCCGTGTTTTGGTCGCTTTACTAGCCGCCGCATCGCATTGCAGGCTCATGTTCATCTCGTGGTCAATGATGACCCCCAAGTCTCTTTCTTCCATAGTGCTAGCCAACATAGCTGGGCTATGATGCTCGCCAGCTCCTTGAGTACCCTGGGGTGAAGATTGTCAGGGCCAGCTGACTTGAAGGTATCCAGCTTCTCAAGATGTTCCTTCAGAAAGTCAGCATTAAAGGAGGGCAGCGGATCACCCTCACCCGGACTTCCCGGCCCTGTAGCGGGCATGGGC